TTGTGCCATGTTTTTTTTTTTTTTGTGGTTGTGGTTTGTGCTCGCTTGGTGACTCGCCTGGTCTGTTTGATTTTAGTAAGCAGAAAAAAAATTTAAAAACTTTCCTGACTTTATCATCTCAGAAGATCATGAAGATGATCTTTAATAAAGTGATGCACATTTGGATGGTATAACTGTTACATCTCAACCACTTTCTGTGGCTTGAATCTTTTAGCAGTCAAATGTGATGCATGGCTGCTGTTTATTAGCTGATTATTAACATCAGGCATCTGAATTCAGCTACTGTTGAAATGTGAAATTAGCATATTCTGGTCCAATTTCAGAGCTTTCAGTTATTTTAACACATGGTAATTGAGAGTCATGAATTTTTATCATTTTAATCATCATAAAAAAAAAATCATTCAGAAACATTTGCTGTTGTGAAGTCATTTTTGTTGTATTTTGTTTGTCCAGAGCAGCAGTTCCCAGTCCGGCCCTTGGGATCCCTAAATGGCTTATGTTCCTCCTCTCTGTATGTTGTGAGTTGGGTTGGAGCAACAATGTGGATCATCTGGGGGGCTCTGAAGACCAGGTTGGGAACCACTGAGGACACTGACCAGACAAACACAAAGAGAAATGTTTGGTTGGTGTGTCATACCTGTGTTTAGTTGTTGTTAGTGTCTAGAACTGAGGTTCTTAATCCTTCCCACCTATTTATCACTATAGAGCCTGAAATTGCTGACATTTATTTATTTGTTCAGAATTATGACCTGAACAATCGCTTATAAATCAGGTCGTCCATTTGAGTCCAATCACAGAAAATAACATTTCATCTCAAAAAATGATTTATTTATTTTGGGTGTAAACCTTTAGCTCTAGACCAAAACTGAATGGAGGGAGAAAAGATTGAAAGTCTTCACTGAATATTATTTAGCCTTTGAAAGCATTTGCATTCCCTTCTTAGTCAATCATTTTTTCATGACGTACGATTATCTGCTCACTAAGGATTCCAAGTACACCTCAGTAAAGGCTGAGGACCACCAGTGCTTTGGCCCACTGGTTGAGAAACACTGCTCTAGAACAAAGCTCTTCAAATCCAGACTTTTGAATTCAGTTTTTGTTAATAACTGGTATTTAACTGAAGTGCAGTGGTGGACGAAGTACACAAATCATGTACTTGAGTTAAAGTAGAGATACCCAAGGTAAAATATTACTCCAGTAAAAGTAGAAGTTCCTCCCTTTAGATCTCCACTTGAGCAAAAGTACAAAAGTATTTGTCTTCAAATGTACTTAAGTATCGAAAATAAAAGTACTAAAGATTAATTATGGCTCTGATGTCCTGTTACCATTTTTGTAACAAAACTCTGCTTCATTAACTCAATTTATGTGAAAATACTTTAGTGTCACTCTTGGTAAACCAGTCTTTTAATAGAATGTCATTAATTAGTCACTGATGTCTATTAAAATTATCATAAGCACAAAACACTGAAGGCAAACAGTTTCCATTAGGTAGAACTGAGAGGCTCTGAAATCACTTTTTACAAACAAGCAAAGTTTCAGTTTAAGATTTATTTGCAACTTAGTTACAAGTTTAAGTTTAATAAAAACTTTAATCTCAGATTCACAAATGAGTTTTCCTTTACTAAACTGCATCTGTAGGTCTCTGTTCATAAACATAAACTAGCCAAAACTAATTTACTATAAAATGAAATAGTGTTAAATTCAGAAAAAAGACACGTCAGTCACAACTGCATATGTGTACATATTTCTATATTGTGGTCTATTTACACAAAGTCAGGTTAGTTCCATCATTTATGTTGGAATAGGCACAAAGTGCACACTGTGCCCTGATTGGTGTGCTTGACTCGCACTTCTTTCGTTTTGACGTTACGTTTTCATACATACATAAGCCAAAAGGAACGGCAGATTCCGCATAATTTAGTGGAGTAAAAAGTAAGATATTTGACTTTGAAATGTAGTGGAGTGAAAGTAAAAAGTCGCCCAAAATGGAAATACTTCAGTGAAGTACAGTAACAAATTACATTTACTTAGTTACTGTCCACCACTGCTGAAGTGTTGATGTAATTGAATGACCACCTAGTGTTACTGCCAGTGATTACAAAGATCTGGATCTGAAGACCTCTGCTTTAGATTCTTTCTTCATTCACTCTGGCTCATTTGGCTTATCAGTCCTGTTTAATTTGTATAGAGACTTTCTCAAACCTAAGATCACTTTCCAGCCGCAAATCATAAAATACATTAAATACATAAGGAGGGAAAATTTCAGGTGGTAAGATTTTGCAGTAGTTCTATAATTTGGGAGCAACAACACTGAAGTATATGCTGTTAGAGTTTCCACCTCAGTTTATTATAATATTAATGTTCCGAATTCCTACTTCAAACAAGGTGATGAAATATTGAAGGAAACATTTTACATTGTTTCTGTTTATTTACAATAAGAATTTGTTAAATGCTAATATGTGTATTGTATATATGTAGTGCTTGAAATGCTGAATATAACATTTACAAATGGTTCCTCATATGAAGATCAGAGACAGACTTTAAGATTTAATATTGACTAAAGAACAGTCACTGTAGAGTGTAAACCAATTAAAATGTTCATGAAGTCACTGTAATACCCCACCCAAACATGACAACAGGGCCAAGCACCAAATTTATCTCAATTAGAGGAGGAAGTGCACCATCTGTTGGTTAGATGTAGTTTCACATCAGTTCACATTTCCTAATGACAATTCCTAACTTGCCTATCCAGCCCTAAATGAATGAAGTTCTGAAACTTTTCATGTCTGGAAACTTTTTTTTCCAAATCTTTGATTCAGTGACCTTCAGCTTAAATAGCAACAGGCTATAAAAGTTACTCTACACTTCAACAACATGGTAGATGATCACAAACAATCATACATGTTGAGGACAAGCTGAGAATAAATGTCAAGAACTAAGACAGGAGATTCAGTTCTCCACCTTTACTCACTGAAGGTGATTTGGCCTGGGCATTTGTTAAATGCTAAATTTACAGAGCAGGGGGTCCAAGATCTCTCACACTCAACAGAGAGCCAGACATGGCTTCGTATATATCAATTTTTCATATGCTTTTATCTTTTAATGTGAAAATTAAAGTATGAATAGAACCCACAAGCAAAATATTGAGTATTAAAATATCAGAAATTTAAATGTAGTCAAACAGACTTCTGCTTTTTTTTTCTCATTCAGGTATAAATGTATTACTCATTTTGCAAGTTTGTGCTTTCATTTTTTTCATTTGCTGATTTTGCTTATAGCTTGTTTGCTTCTAGACTCGCTCTTTTCCTTCTGACTTTTGGCACTTTTTAACAGGGGGCGGGTCTTAGAAAAGGGTGTTCACTTGCACTTTTTATTGGTCAACTGATTTGAAGTGACAGGTCTTCTGAACACGTAGCCACTCAAAATGAACCGCCCCCAGCATGGCAGAACACATCGTACTGAGTGCTGCTATGAGTGCAGCGTTTTACTGGCATATCTGACATTATGAGCAATGTTTATCATGTTCCTTTAAAATGATTAATATAACACGTTTATGGGTTCTGTGTCGACCTGTCAAAAAGATATAACTGTTTGTTTGGACATTGACAAACACAAACTTAGTTGTTTAAGTGAACAAAGCTGTACCACCTTTTGAGTTTGCAACTGCTAGAGCGAACTAGCCCAGCAGTTTCCTCTAGTGCCAACTTGGTGAGTCATACTGGTAATGGAACTAAACTACTTAGATGCCGCATTGGGTCCAGCCAGGCACCTCAACGGCGCTGCCATTTTAGGGCGGTTAACATCGCTGCTGGACTGCATTCAGTACCATTACAGAATGGCGGTTTAAGAAATATACTGTCCAAAATGACACTATTTCAAGAATATTGCACTCAGAAAGTGGGCTATGATTATATAACGGAGGGAATGTTTATGTGATGTTTATGTGTAGATATGGTTGTGTGGTTGATGAGGCACAAAGAACCTGTTGATGTGATTGTTTTTCTTCTGGCTTAATATTAAGCTTATTTCATTTGATAGTCTATTCAGGGGATCTTAACTTTATGTAGTAGTTATTTATTTACAATGATGTTTAAAGCTTTGTAGCTCAGTAAGTTACAGCATTCCTTAATCCGTGTAGATATTCATAATAGATTAACGTTAGCACCTTCTTACACGAACCTCTGAGTCCGCTTTGCCAACTTCTTGTTCAAATTTTCCCGTTCCACCTTAAATGGTGCAGCTTCAGGCACCAGAGTGTGACTGCTGCACCATTTAAGGTGGAACAGGAAAGCTCCAACAAGAAGCTGGCAAATAGGAAGCCAGCATCGTCCTTCTTACTGTGTTTTGGGGATTTATTTTATTTTTATGTGTATTAAGATTAGAAGTGAAGTTGTGGCCGATTGAATCCTGAGACTCATCATCTCTTAATACAAGTGAATTTGTTCACAAGCGTATGTTGACCGCTCTAACATGGTGGACACACAGACGTATCGCCTCAGATAGAGAACAACCGGCAACGCGGCATCTAGGTATGTATATCTATGTCTGTAACTATATCTATGTATGTCTATGTCTGTTTTGCCTCTTTCCTTTAAACACTGCATTTGCTGCATGTAAGGCTTCATTCTTGTCAGAAAAATTCAGTATTATACTCTATGTTAATGCTTGAATCACCATATATGGTTATGCTTAAGCTTAGAACTCTGTAGGCAAAAGAGTTCAGACAGAGTGCACTGCGTACACTCTGGGGTCAGATGAAGGGCTCTCCTATCAGTAAGAAGTGAAAACAACGCTACGCAGAAAGGAGAACTTGTCCTTTGGGTAAACTCTAAGAAAAGGGATTTATCAGGAAATAGATAAAACAAGAAGTTGAAGAATAGTTCAGCTGAGTAAGAGTAAAACGTACATTTCCAAAGGTATAAGACAGGGCATGACCCAAAGCACTTTGAGCATTACATTCTAGACTTGACTCTGTGTGTAACTGCTCCCTTGCTGCAAGGATAAAAGCTTCAAAGACATCAGTGGTCTCAGGCTGATTATTTAAAGAAGATTTTTCTAACAACTTGGTCCTTCGAGCCGGATCCCAACATCTCCTCTGCCGCCCAGATACAGGGACCTGAACCGCGCGGGGGAGTTTGAGGACTCCTGATGAGAAAAGACCTCGGGCGCGTCCTCCCTGAGGACGTTTGAGCTTTCAAAAAGAGGCCAGGATCCTCTGGGTGGTGGAGAAGTGATGGGATCGTTCTAGAATCACTGAGACACCGTACTTTGAAGGTAAGAAAAGGGTTTTTCTTACTGGTTCATAAAAGCCCAGAATAGGCCATCTGGTCGTCGGTTGGGTGAAGATCCAACACGCGGGAAGTAAAGCCAGGCGAGGGAGTCTGGTCATTTATTAGGTGTTTTTACTAAGTCCTAGTAAGTGAAGACCGGAGGTAGCGCCCCGGCAGTAAAGTCCGAAAGGCATAAAGTATTCGGGTGAAAGACCCCGAATGGTATTCAGGTGAAAGACCCTGAATGGTGTTCAGGTGAAAGACCCTGAACAGTTGTGTGAGTGTTGTTGTTAACGTAAAATTGCAAGTCTATGTGGTGGTTGTATTTGTGTAAGTGTTTTAGTACCGTTAAAAAATTTAACATCATGGGTAATTGCTGCAGTTGTTGTTGTTATGACAAAGCGGAGCCCGGGCTGCCAGGTGATGTGAAGTTTTGTTCTAAGAGAAGGATAATGCAAATGGTTTAAAAGATGGAAAAATAAATATGGATTTAAAGGAAGGTTGAGTATGTCAGAATGTGAGAATCTGCTATCAGAGATAGACAAGAGGGCTAAAGGAAGTTCAAAAAGGTTGGTAAGAGAAGGTCATAGTTCAGCCAAAGAATGGTTGGTAGAGGCAAAAAAGCGCGCAGAAGGTATTAGAAAAGCTAAGGAGCTCAGAAAAATTGACGTGCTAACACTGACGGACAAAGAGGACGAAAATGCTGTTGGACGTAGACTTTACCCGCAACTTAATAGTCGCGGGGAGACTGACCCACCACCTGGTTATAGTGTTGGTGTGACTGTACGTACTGACGAGGACAGTAAAAGTGATATTGCATCCGCCCCTCCAGCCCAAGTGACTCCCTCGCCCTCGACTGCTTTGGTCCCAAGGGACGGAATACAACTGCGCAGTCAGTTCATCCCATCTTTTTCTTCTCTCTCCAGTTTTACGCGCTATCTTCCTGTATTTTCCCCTGATGGTGCTGTTGTTAGAGATTTAAATAAAGAAATAGCCGAAGCCTACCCTATGATCGAAGTCCCAAACCCCAACCCCAATCTTGACGGCAGCAATCCCACTATGTTTGTGTTTAGACCTTGGACTGAGGAGGATGTAAGGAAGACTCAAAGAGATTTTTGACATTAACAGTGGAGTACCTTTTCCACCAAATTCTATCAGTGACAGTCCTTATGAACAGCAGTTGAAAAATGCATTCTTTAAAGGTGCACTCCAACCAATAAGCAGTTTGTTACTAAACACATGATTGATAATCGCTCAGCTCAGTTAAACAACACCTTAGAATATGCTAGGCATGCTGAAAGACATTTCAAAGAGAAAAAGAAAGCCAAAAAAGCAACTGCATTTGTCTTGCAAACTAACGAGGGTGAGGAAGTCTATTTTCAGGCTGAAGGAGGTGGACGCGGAAGGGGTCGCGGAAGGGGGCGTGGCTACTTCGGAGGACGAGAAAGATCCGCCACTCCTACTCCAGGTGGGGACTCCTGCTGGGAGTGTGGTAAGGCGGGACATCAGGCCCGCTACTGTAAAAACAAACGCAAGGGTGATCCCCCAGCAAATGGATGGACGGCATGACTAGAGACGGCAACAGGTCAGACTGACCCTTTCACTTCCAATGACAATAGCAAGGATAGGGAGGGAGTTGAGGATGAGCCTGTTTGTCTAATGCATGTTGACGCCTTCCTGCTCAGTTCAAAAACAAAGCCCGAAATAACTCTAGACGTGAAGGGTCAAGAAGTTACCTTCTTGTGTGATACTGGGGCATCACGTACAGTTATTCATCCTGACGATGTTCCACATGTTCAAATTTCTGATGATTTGATTTATGTCAAATCTGCCGATGGTAAAGTTAACCAAGCGCGACTGTCTATGCCTGTTTGTTTATTTGATCCCCAAACTGGCATACGTAGTTGCGACGCTCAAATTGTGCTTTCACCTGACGTTCCAGTTAATCTTTTGGGGAGAGACATGTTGGCTGATCTGCAGATCGCTGTGATTCCGGTCCGTGATGGGCTGCGGGCCCAGCGATGTGCAGATCTTGTATTGGTATTGGAAGACGATTCTTCTCCCCATTACTGGTATTCTTTAGATCTTGTCAACACGGGCCCAAGTTCGGTCTCCCAGGCCCTAGTTGACAAAGCCCGCGGAATGGGCTATGAATTGGCAGAATATATGAATCCAAATGATTTGCATTGCACAATGTTTTTCAAACACACCAGTGGCCGTGACCCTAAATACGAGGAACGATTCTTTAAAACTCAATGTACAACCATTACATTACATTGACCACATTGTACTGGTCCGGCCGAGGAATGTGTGGCGCAGTATGCTCATTGCAACCCGACATGCAAAAATTGCATCGCGGGCGCAATGTGCCCCACATTTCTGTCTCTAAGGATCAAAAACACAGCTGGAGTGACGTGGGTGTCTTCGTCACTGCCTGTGAAAATGCTCACGGTTGGCGAGAATATATGCCTGGGGTCCAACATTCTTTTGAGGTGCACGCATTCCGTATGCAACTAAACTGGGTCACACGCAGGACCCCGCATGTACACTTTGCCAGCTCTGCAGGACAAGAACCATGACATGTTTTGTCTCTCACAGATTACGAAATGGCTAGACTGCATACTGTTCCTGAAAAGCTTTGGTCAAAGAACAAAGCGGATGTAGGCCTTATTAAGGGAATTTCCCCTGTTTCTATTACACCCAAATCCTCATTCCGACCACATCACAGACAGTATCCACTTAAGCCAGAAGCTGAGGCTGGTATAGAACCTATCATTGCAGATCTGTTAAAAGCTGGAGTACTCATTGAGTGTCCTAACTCTCCGTGTAATACCCCATTGTTTCCTGTTAAAAAGACACCACCATCCTCCGGCTGGAGAATGGTCCAGGATTTACAAGCAGTAAATAAGGCTGTAATTCCTCGAGCACCGACGGTGCCTGACCCACACACTCTGCTCAATGATTTGCTTCCTCAAAACAGGTTTTTCACTGTTGTTGACATAAGTAATGCCTTTTTCTCTATTCCTGTGCATGAGGATAGTCAGTTTTGGTTTGCGTTTACTTTTAAACGTAAAAGATACACTTATACTCGTATTCCGCAAGGATATTGTGAAAGTCCAACCATTTTCTCACAAGCCATGTTGGCTAATTTGGCTAAATTTACACCTCTGTGCTCAAGTCAAATACTGCTGTATGTTGATGATATTTTGCTTGCTAGTCCTGATGAGGACTCATGCTGGACTGACACAGTGGCCCTCCTCCACTTCTTGGCGGAGAACGGTCATAAAGTCAGTAAAGACAAGCTGCAGCTTTGCAAAACGCAAGTTAAATATCTTGGTCATATTCTCTCCCATGAGGGCAGGCACACAGATGAGGCCCGTAAAAGTGCTATTCTCCAGGTGCCCAAACCTGAAACAAAACGCCAAATGATGTCTTTTCTCGGCATGGTTAATTATTGCCGCAGTTGGATCGCAAATTATGCCGAGATTGTAGCCCCTCTGACTGACCTCATCTACTCTAGCCCCATGGCAGCCCATGACAGCCTCCTCTGGACTCCCGAAGCCGAGGACGCTTTCATTTGTATTAAACAACTTTTGGTCAGCTCATCCGTATTGGGCCTTCCGGACTATCCTAAAACCTTCTTTCAGACTGTAGATTGCAGAAATGGGTTCATGTCTTCTGTGCTGACACAAATGTATGGAGAGAGAGCTCGCCCTGTAGCATTTTACTCCTCCAAATTAGACCCTGTGGCTAGGGCTTTACCTCCCTGTGTACAGGCTGTTGTCGCTGCCTCACTCGCTGTTCAAGCCTCGGCCTCAGTGGTTTTATTCCATCATCTAGTTTTACGTGTCCCACACGCTGTCTCAGTTATTTTGCTGCAGAACAAAATTTCTTATCTCTCTCCCTCCAGACATTTTCATGCATGACGACGTTGTTGTCACAACCCCATCTGGAAATAGAACGTTGCACAGGGCTTAACCCTTCAACCCTTATGCCAAATGCCTCAGAGGGATCACCGCATAGCTGTTTGGATGTTATAGCAGAAAATGTATTGCCTCGTGCTGATCTCAAAGATCAACCATTCGCCAGCCCTGACGTTACTATGTTTGTAGATGGCTCTAGTAGCAAACGCCCCGATGGCACTAATGCCACTGGGTTTGCTGTAGTCACTAGTGATGCGTTGTTAAAAAGTGGGAAATTGCCAAGCCATCTGTCTGCACAAGCTGCAGAACTTATCGCTTTAACTGAAGCACGTAAGCTCGCGAAGGGAAAGTCCGCTGTTATCTGGATGGATAGTAATTATGCTTTCTCCACTGTCCACGTTTTTGCCCAGCAATGGAAAAACAGAGGTATGATTACCTCGGGAGGTAAATCAATTAACCACAAATAACTTACTCTAAACCTTCTAGACTCAATTCAATTGCCTAAGCGTCTCGCTGTTTGTAAGTGCGCTGCTCACACACGCTGCGATGACCCTGTCTCTAAGGGCAACCAGAAAGCTGATGAGGAAGCGAAGCGAGCTGCTCTTCACGTGGCTCACATTCTCTCTCTTAGTTCTGAAACACACACACACTTAGATGAGGAAGTACTGGCAGATATGCAGCGTGTGTCTCCTGACACTGAAAAACAACATTGGCTAAAAAATGGGGCACAAATCAATGCTTCTAACGTCTACTCCTGACCCCTAGACAAGCCTATCCTCCCAAAAAACTTATTTAAGTATGCTGCTCTTTTGAGCCATGGCCCTTGCCATGTCTCAACAGGAGGGATGGTGCATACCATAAATCAAGTGTTCACAGCTTACGGGTTTACAAATTACTCGAGAATTTTTTGTCTAGCATGTGAGACATGTGCAAAACACAACTCAAAGGGAAATTTCAGACCCAGAAGAGGCAAATTTCCAAAACCACAATGGCCTTTTCAGCACATATGTATGGATTTCATAGAATTAAATAAATGCGAAGGGAAAAAGTATTGCCTAGTAATTATAGATTCACTCACCAAATGGACTGAAATATTTCCCTGTGCTAATCCAGATGCATTAACTGTGGCAAAAGCATTAGTAAAAGAAATAATTCCTAGGTATGGGATACCTCAGAGAATCTATAGCGATAATGGCACACACTTTGTTAATAGCCTTATCACACATGTGGGTAAAGCATTAAACATCGAACTAAAAAATCACTGTGCCTATCACCCCCAATCCGCGGGATTGGTAGAAAGACACAATGGTATTATAAAAGCTAAACTGCGAAAGACAATGACAGAAACAGGAAAGAACTGGGTTTATTGTCTCCCACTAGTAATATTAAACATGCACATAATGCCAGGAGAAAATGGGCTAACTCCTTTTGAGATGATGTATGGGAGGCCATATGTTATTCCCCAATTTAGAACTCTTTCAAAAGGAAGTGAAGAAGCAGAAGAAAGCTTAGCTACCTATATGAGGAACATGCTGAATAAACAAAATGTTCTCTCTATTAATAATCCTCCTGTACAGATTGAAGGAGAACCGAGACCAGAGACAGAAGTTGAACCTGGAGACTGGGTTTTCATAAAGGTCATAAAGAAGAAGTCCTGGGCAGACCCACGGTGGGAGGGACCGTTCCATGTGCTACTAGCAACCCCTACAGCAGTAAAAATAGCTGAACACCCCTCCTGGATTCACCTCTCTCACTGTAAGAAAGCACGAGAACTTTCTGATCACGGTCGAAATAAACCTGCTTAGAGCCTCCTGAGGACTAGTCCAGCTACAAAGGGGAGTGAAACCAATAGGGTCACTCGTCTCAACCCCGGTGAAGAAATTATTAAGGTCCAGAGACAGTAGTGAAGCAGATTCGACCATGACCAGACTGACTCTGTATTATTTAATCATTACTGCCTGCGGGCTCTATGTGATAGAGGGGTTTCATACTCCCATTTATCAGGGCAACCCGGTAAGGGGGGGGCCTCGGAAAATAGTTAAAACCCTGACGATGGAGTACCAGGAAGGTGTCACTGGTACTGTCAAATTTGATCTGTGCCAAATAATTAAATGTACGGACCAGAGAACTGGCTATATCTGGGCAGAAAAATATGTCTGTGAAATGCCCCTGATAGACACTCCTGGGCTCACCAAGGGTAGCTGGTGTGATTATTGGAATGATGTTATTTGCAATTCTGGGATCTCTAGGTGGGGCTACAGCCCTGCCAGAGCCTCCCATGGACCTGATCCCTTGAACCAACGTATGTCTATCTGTCAAGGCCAGACACCCACAACCTGTTCCATCGATGACTGTAACCCAATGTATCTCACCCTCACAAGACCAAAACCCTCTGATGCTGGTCTTTATGTACTTGGTGTTATCTTTTCCGGACAAGATCCTTTAGGTCATTTTCAAATAAAAGTCACTCCAAAACCTTACTCACAAACTACCTCAAACATTACCTCAAACACTCCCATGCAAGATAATGCCACTTCTGGCTCTTGGCTAAATTCCACACGCTTCTCTATGTCTAAAAAATTAGCCATTGAAACAGGCTATGCAGCTAGGAATGAATGGTTTGAATGGATGCTGTACACAGCTAAAACCACAAATGTCAGTAATTGTGTAGCATGCTCCGCCAGCAGACCTCAACTAGGAACAACTCCCTTTAGACTAACACAAATAAATGCCGATGAAGGATTAAGATGTACCCTGCGGCTGTTTACACGTGACAAATTTTTGAACTGCACATGCCAACTTTTTTCTTATTTGTTTCCAGCCACCAAGCCTACTATGCCACCTGGTGTTCTAGCCTTACCTGGGAACTACACCTGTTTCTCTAGGTCTTCTGGTCAGAAGAATGGGTCAACGCTTCCCTGGTGCACATATAGTTACGACGTCACCAAAAATGGTAATGGTTATCCATCCAAGTGGTTCACCGATCATACCATGGCTGACCTGTGGTGGCTGTGTGGGGATAGGAAACTGAGGGCTGTGTTGCCCCAATCCTGGCAGGGATCTTGTGCTTTGGTACAGCTTCTCATGCCCTTCCACATCTACCCCACTACTGCCTTTTCGGCACTGCCCGAGAAGCTGAAACGTCACCATCGTCAGAAGCGCGATACCCCAGCACCAGGGGCTTTCGATAGCCATATCTACACAGATGCAATAGGAGTCCCTAGAGGGGTTCCGGACGAGTTTAAGGCTAGAAACCAGATCGCTGCAGGCTTTGAGGCCAACGATTAATAAAAATGTGGATTGGATTAACTATTTGTATTACAATCAGTTGCGTTTCATAAATCATAGCAGAGATGCTCTGAAAGCTGTCCATGAACAGCTGCAGGCTACATCACTTATGGCATGGCAAAATAGGATTGCCCTAGACATGTTACTGGCTGAGAGAGGCGGGGTATGTAGAATGTTTGGTGACTTTTGCTGTACATTCATTCCCAATAACACCTCACCTGATGGAAGTTTTACCAGGGCTCTCCAGGGTTTGGAAACTCTGTCCAAGGAAATGCACGACAATGCTGGTATCAATAACCCTCTGACCTCACTGCTCGAATCATGGTTCGGGAAGTGGGGTGCTCTTGTTTCTTCTGTCTTAATTTCTCTTGCAGTAGCAGCAGAGCTGATCACCACCTGCGGGTGCTGTCTCATCCCCTGTGCGAGAGGACTCCTCCTGCGCCTCATCGATTCTGCCGTGACCAAGGTCATGGTATATGAGGACACAAACGAGTCCACCTACGTGGGCATGACCCAAAGCACTTTGAGCATTACATTCTAGACTTGACTCTGTGTGTAACTGCTCCCTTGCTGCAAGAATAAAAGCTTCAAAGACATCGGTGGTCTCAGGCTGATTATTTAAAGAAGATTTTTCTAACAATTCTGTACTTCTGATCAGGGACAGAGCCACAGAGAGGCCTGAGTCTACCCAGGTTGAAAACAGGCCTACTCAATCAAATGGAGAAAGAGTACTTAGTAAGCTGTTTTTTCAAGATAATGAAATTCCTGAGTGCTGTCATTGTAAAAATGGCCAAACAAAATCATTACACTCTCCTACAAGCTCCGCCTCCTTTTCCTCTGCCCTACAATCACTGCTAAGCAACCATTGCTATCCACAATTGCCAGCAGCTGTCAGTTCGTTATCTGCATGCCAGCGTTTAAATCCGAAGCTCCAGCTTTGTGAAAATGTCAAAGCAAACTTCTTATGTTACATCAGTGAAATGAATCTTAACAGGTGGGACATAAAAGGACCATAAACATTTTTCCTGTCTGCTGTGGCAGTTTGCTTTATCCTACGATGGTCAGGTTTAGGCCTTTAAGTTTGCTGTGCTGATTTTCCTCGTCTTTACATGAGTTGTATGATTTGAGCTCAGTCATGTTGCCTTATTTGGGTCTCCTTGCCGTGGCAGTGGGTGTTTGCCAAGAATGATTAAGATTTTTATTTGCTGTGTTTGCTGTATTTTTTCTCATCTTTGCACATCTCATCTGTCTGATTTTAACTTACGTTATCTTCATTGAACAATGTTCCTGTGGTGAGCTGATGCATGCTTTATCCTGAAGGATGCTGTGGTGTTGTGTTTATGTGAATCCAGTATTCATGTTGATTGCTGTTGTTTTATATCACTGTAGGCTGGAACCTTTGAAATTGGTGTGGGATTGTGAGGATGTGTGAGTATCAAGTATCTGTGCACAGCTTGAAATGTAAAGTTAGCAAGTGATCTGAATGAAAAGCACTTCTGAAATCGCAAATCAATCACTGAGACGAACCCTGCTACAGCACACACCCACAGAGGAACAAATGGCAAAGATACCTGCAATGAAAATTCATAGGGAAAAATCTATTTTCTTGGTTCCTTGTAGATGATCTACAGCTACTTGAAATTATTAACACAGTTTCTGGTGATTCCCAGTTGATCCTCAGTACCATTGGGGTAAGGGTTAGGTTTAGGAGTAGGTGTAGATTTTGGACTGAAGTTAATGTTTAGGGTTAGATATGACCATTTTTCACAGTCAACTTCAAGTTCAGTTGCATTTAATAGATATTTTGTTAAATGCTAAAGACAGACTGAGCATCTACAATCAAAATAAGCCTGATTGTCAAGGCCATTAAGGGTTAATTATCATAGGAATGCTGGAGACTCCACTGGCCAAGGAACCAAAACTGGCAGTGAAGATGTATGATTTGGCCTGCTACCTTAACCCCACCCCAGAATGAAAGAACAAACATTTTTTATGCTAGTATTTCCCAGCCTGGTCCTCATGGCCTCATGGCTTTAGATGGTTCACATTTTTCTTCATTCCTGTGTTTTTTACCCTGAGGACGGGTTTGGGAAAAACTGTTTTATGCTATGCTGTTACATTGTTATTCTCTGTTACATACCTCACTACAGAGTTTCAGACTGCCTCTGGAAGCAACATCCTGCCACCAAAAATATCAAGAAAGCAGTAATCAGAAACTGGCCACTGATGAAGGGCTCGACCAACACTGGTATAAAGTGGTCAGTACATGTACACAGTTTAAAAAATGGAGTTTTAAAACACCAGGAACTCTCCTATACTTGAACCTCGACATTTTATTGCAATGAAAATCTTTATTCCAGTGGAAAAAACTGTGAGATTTTACAAAATTACATTTTATATGTATTTTTATCAACCTCCTGTAAAGTTTTACATTTATGTCTTGTTGTATTAAGGCAGCAAAGGGAGGTCAGAATGACAGTGAGCAGAAAGGAGGAGGTCAGGAGGACAGTCAGCAGGCAGGAGGAGATCAGGAGGACACTGAGCAGGCAGGAGGAGATCAGGAGGACAGTCAGGACCTACTAGCAAAGAGGTGAGTTAGAAAGGACACTGCATTTAAAGATGTTTGTCATCTTACCAGATATTAGGCATTAGTACTTTCAGAAACTGATGGGATACACAAGTAATATCCCACTGTTATCAGACAGTATGCTAGCACTTTTAATGAAGTGTTGGCTACTGATAGTAAAGAAAGCTCAAAAGCCTCAGCTTTACTGACTACAGTGACACTATTTTCTATGGCTCCTGTGGAAAAAGACCCTGTAGAACATGGTGATTTGATAGAATATGATGATTTAATTTTCAAGGCAAATTTACATTATTGGGTGGTCTAACTTCAATGTTAGTCAAGCTCAGCCGTAGCTGCTGTATGGTTGTAACACACCTGCCTACCTTTCGGCACATTGATAGCATCTTGGTATAGTGTTATGTGGTTCTGTGCTTGAGAGGAAATTATGGTCTGCCTTTGTTGTGTTTATGTGGGACTGCAGACATTACATTAAACAAGCAAGATAGTTTAAGTGTAAGGATTGTATAAACCCCACGATTGTCAGAATAATTCACACTCTGATTTGCAGTATCAAAATATGTTCTGACGTTGCTCTGTTTGACTGAATAGGATTACAAGGTGTAAATGTAAATATGTCGATTTTTTTTTTAACTGTCTTTGTAAAATTCTGTAGCCAAAGATGTAAAATAACCAATTACATTTACTCTGTTTACATTACTTGAGTACAGTTTTCCCTGATATTGGAGTGAGGTATATTAATAACTTTATAAAAAAAGGCAAAAACACTCTTAAACTTCCAGTATAAGTTGAGGTCTGAAGTTCTATGTGTTCTGTTCTTTGCAGGGGTTTTGGAAAGTTTAAATTAAGGGGGCCCCCTGGTCCAGAGGCCCCAGAGGGAGTAGGTCTCTCCCTCTCTTAGTTCCAAATAGATGAGATCATTTTAAAAAGAACCATATGTTCTGTCTTCTCTTTCAACAACAAGTCCAATATATAAGCTGTTGGCCATAGTGGTCTGGAGGGGACACTTAGAATTGGCACGGATCCTCTCTCAGGTACTTTATAGTGCTTGATATGATACTGTTTTACTTTGTAATAAACATCTTAAACAAGGAAGACAGTGTCAGCAGAGTTTCCTTCATTATCTTCACATCATCGCTACTTAATAAACAACAGGAGTGTAATTACATCATAGTACTTTCCCTCTTCTACTTTATTTTTAATAACGTTACCGATTAAAAATAAATGTAGTGTCAGTTTATAAACCAATTAGAAGAAAGTGCTGTTACATTTGAGGTTCACTTCTGAAATCCAGTCAAAATAGAGCAACCAGAGCAGCTCTCAGCTGCAGAAACAGTTGGTTTAGCGGATACAGAAGGAGGAAAACATTAGCAGCACAAACAAGAGATTTACTGTGGCATCAGTGAACATGAAATAGTGCAGTTTGAAGGCTGTAAATGTAACATTTACTGTCTCTAGCAGTCTATCAATGTAAACTAGCGTAACAGGCAGAAGCTAACAGGCAGCAGGGCTGCCACTAAAAATTACATTATTAGTTGAATAATCTACTGATAATTTTGACTCTTTATTCACACTTTATTTTGAGGGTCCTCTATAGACAAACTATAGATGATATTTGATGATTTGTGATTCAGTAACATTATGATGAGGGTTGGGTTTAGGAGTAGGTGAAGGTTTTTGGTAGCAGCCACTAGACCTGCCACTTCACTTGACACATTCATTATTGGAAGGCAGCACGACTTGAAAAAGCAGCCGGACCTGCCATTTCACCTGCAACATCCATTGCTGGCTGCTGGCACATCTTGATGCAGCTGCCCCTAGACCTGCCACTTTGCATGGCGCATTTAGTTTGCGGCAGCTAGGCCATGGCTATGATAGCCATCACACTTGCTCTTAAGAGAAAGAACTCCAGGGTGTTAAAAGGAGCTGGCAGTTGACCCACCACAGCCACTAAAGAGGATGTGGTGAGGGGCCCAGGCTTTTTAAACACTGACGTGATAAACTTGAACTTCAAACAGTTTGCATGCACTAGGTTCACATCAGAGTACCTATAGAGAGGGTAAGTGGTCCAGTCTTTGCTGTTTGCATTCAAAACTTAGGTCACAGGCTGCACAACATAATGTGCTGACACTATGAGAATGTTCCAGACACTGTGGGAATGTACCAAGTGGTGACCCTTTGTCTGTTTCCAAAGACAATTAATTTTATTCTCTTTTCTGTGTTTTGTTATATGAATATTATCCATATTTCTGTTTATTATTTTATAGTTCCTAAATTTCTATCCCTTGTCTGTGTTTTATATTCATGTTTGCCTACTTGTCAAACAAATGCATTAGTCTTCTAAGACGTGCATCCTACTTCTTTTTAACCATGTATTGTCTCAACATTTTTAGGCTCAGCATTTCTGTGATCATAGTTTTTTTATATCCTTGTTCATGAGACGGTTCTTTGACTTTTGTCTCATTAATGATGCTCTGAAATGCTACTTAATGTGTTAGTAGAATTATTAATTAAGAGACTTTAATTCATAGAGTTACTTCATATACTTCAGTTAAAGCACTCATTAACTCATAAACTCAACACAAAGAGATGGACAACAATCATGAACCAAGTCACAACACAGAGATTTTGTCTTATAGAGTTTTCATCATAAGCTGCTTTACTGCGTCGATTCAGTTCCTGGTTTTCTTGTCATTTGAGTGACACTGTGAAAGAGTGAGGGTGTGGTCATCTCCTCTGCTGAGCTTTCAGAGCAACATTTCATTGCTGAATAATAAAGGTAAGAACAAATCACACACACACACCTGTAATTATACATAAATAAATTAATATAGTATCTGTCATTAACCAAAATAAATCTCTCTCTATGTATATTTAGAAACACTCACCCAGCACTTTATTAGGAACACCTTCTTGTTTCTACACTCATTGTCCATTATCTCAGCTCCACTTACCATATAAGAGTGGTCAGGACCCCCACAGTGCTGGTATGATTTGGGTGGTGGGTCATTCTCAGCACTGCAGTGACACTGACGCGGTGGTGGCATTAGTGTGTGTTGCGCTGGTACAAGTGGAGAATACAGATGAAATACAGTCTGAAATTGTAGATCTACAAAGTGCTCCTATGTGGTGAGTGTAGCTCCTAATAAGGTTCCTAATAAGTGTTCCTAATAAAGTGCTCAGTGAGTATGTATAAATATATAGATATATGTATATATATATATGAGGGAGAAAGGAGTATAATGAGCCACGTTTTATTATTCATCTGTGTATTTATTACAGACAACAATTGCTTTGTGTTTTTAGGGCTGTTCTCCATGCATAGAATTCGAAATATCACGTTCAGTTAATACAGTTTCTGAAGTATGACCCCTCAAAAAAAGTTGGTCCGTTGACACAACTTGCCCTCAGGCCGGGGTAAATTGAGCATAGGGAGGGGAAGGTTGAGCCTGGTAGGGGGTAAATGTGCTACGGTTAAATAACCTACATAAAAAATAAAATAAAATCACACCAGTGATTCTCCACTATAGTTCATATTAATCAAAGTAGGATTACTCAGGAAAGGGTGGTTGTGTTTGTTATGTAGTTTATAGGTAAAATTAACAGGTAGCTCACGAAGGCAACTTAAGTGCAAGCTCTATGCACTTCAAGAGAGATGGCGTTCACAGTTATGCTACGGTTATGACATCATGTTGAAGCTCATGCTGCTGTAAACTAGAATATAAAGCATCTCAAGCCAACTGGTTTCTTTTAACATGCAAGACTGATAATCTCAACCTTTCTATTTTCACTTGACATGAGAACAATAACATTTTTGTCTCCAGTTAGCTCACCATTTTCTTCATGTGCTCGTTTCAATAAGAATTCATGCGAGATGAACTGTTCTTCCTGAATATGGTTGTCTGAATACAAGAGGGTGGCTCACAGCTCTTATGTCTCACATATGCTTTTTGTGTTCACCATTCTTGTTTGCAGACTCTCTTTTTTGGTGAATTCAGCTGGTTGTGTGTATTTATTGTGGTCACCACTCTCATCTCTACAGTTGGTCCACCATTTCAGTAAGTAGCCAAACACTCACACAGTTCTTGCCATGTTAGATGTATTATTGCTGAAAAAGCCGTTCTTTACCTCTACGAGGCTGAATCTCAGCCTTGATGGTCATGCTTCTTCTGTGACCTGCTGGTGTTGCTTCTGACCCCATACATAGTGACAAAACTGTTGCAGGATGAAAACTGCTGGGAGACGAGCAAGACTTGCTGAATTTTTACCTCTTTGTGATCAGCATTCGATGGTTTGAACATTGTGGTTGTGGTGATTTTATATAGAACTGATCAACCCGTGAAACCCACATATGTGTGAAACACATCAGCAAGTCTATCTCATTCTGAACACCACATTATTTATAACATACTAGGCAAAATATGATACACATAAACAGCATTTAAATTAGGATATTCGCATGACAACATGCTCAACACTATACAAGTCCAAGACTGACCATAGTTGATGAGGATGAAAACAATTCAATACAAACAAACCTGGTACTTGGAGATAAGATATATATTCTATAAGAACATATTCTATAAGAGAAAATATACTATTACAACTAAGATACAAGATACACTTGTGTTATTACATGAGTAAGAACTGAAGTTGACATGTATTTCGATTATTACTCTTATCAATATGTAACAATGCATACATCAACAGTAGTTACATTGTTGTTAATGTGTAACTACACAATATAGACGCAATATAAAGTGGAGCCTATAATGTTAATGCTTGTGTGATTATGCCTATTTGTGATATTATCCATAATCTGTACGTATCATCATAACTGTATGTATCTTTATTTTTATTATGATTGTGTTCTGCTGTTGTCTGTGAGGTAATTCACCCCAAATTTCCTCTCTGTGACCAATTTCTCACACTGGCTCTGTTTAAGCAGAGCCAGTTGAAGCAGATTGTGTTCAGAAAAGACTTGTGAAGCTAAATGTGTTAAAACAAACCTGTGATGCTTTCTTTGAGTTTGAGGTTGTACCAGATTTAGAGCAGCCTCTAAATAGGAAATGTGTCATAGTAATATGGTAGGCCACTTGATGCTGAGGCACAGAGGCAGCACCAGAATTAGTTTTACAGGGGGGCTGAACCATTTGATGGGATTGCTATATCTATGCCTTTTAAGGTTGCAGTGTTTGAATGTGGGGGGTTCAGCTACACGCTGAGGTCAGTGGAGAAGGTTTGATATGAAGTTTTAATATTCGAGGGCATGTCTAAGCCTTGCTGTCACTTGTGCTTCCATCAGGACCTATTAGACTGGTCTTCAGCTCTGCATGCACTTTTGCTCTTCATACCGAAATGTGCAGCACCTTAGTGACACGCAGTGCACTCGCCTTCATGAGGGATGTGATTTTGTTTTTTTCCAGAATTATGATGGTGGTGGTGATGTGCCAACAAGGCAGTTATGCTACCATCTCAGTTTTGTGGTGGTCCCTGCAGCTGTATAGACGACTATGGCTTCATCACCGCCAACCAATTGTCGTTCAGCTTAACCTGAATACTGATGTGCCTCACTTGTTTCTTCTTTCATGTGATAGTTTATAAACCCAGGCTTTAGTTTAGTTTATTGCAACGTATTGCTTCTGTTTCTAGAGCTACTGAGCGGTATTTCCTGTACATTGTTTTCCGATGAACCAAACCTGATTTCTGTGTTTTCTGACTTCGTTTTTGCTTTCTCTCTTTGGAAATGCTTGCCTTGAATTTTGTCATTTGTTATATGTGTCTCTTTGTGTATCCTATCTGTCCTTGTTCTGACCTACGCCTGTTTTTTGACGACGTCTTTGGAAAATCTCTAAACAGTAAAGCATTTTTTGATTTTACCGCAAGCATCTCACAGATTCTGTCCCATTACAGAATACCTTGTCTACCAGATGACTGATTCAGAGGCTGTTCTGAAGGCAATGTTCAGTCAAAGACATTTAATAGGACAGCATCTTCATGTACTTGTGGAGGTAACTCAGTCAGTGTTTTGCTAATTCTCTGCCGAGTACTGATCAAGTGAAAGTTTCATGTTTGATCTTGCATTAAACTGATAGATCATTGGATTGAGCTACTTCAGTTTGGCAGAAGGTTCACAGTCTTTCGTATGATCAGTTTTTGAAAGATTTTCGTATCGTTTTTGAGCATCCACGCGATGGAAAAGGCTTGGTACGCTCTGTAAACAGTGGAAATACTTCACAAAGATGGGTTCAAACAAACAGTTCAGGTGAAGCTGATCTTTGAAACAGTTTGTGATCGGCGGACGATGTCACATGATCTCCAATTGGATTCTGGGAGTCCGTAGGATTACACTGTTTTACTGATGAACAACCTGGTTATGAAACTGGTGACATTGGTTAGAGGGTGCTAATCACCCTTTTGTTGTCCTCACTGACCATAAGAATCTTAAATATCTACGTATGACTAAACACTTAAGCCCTCGTCAACCTTGCTGGTCTCTATTCTTCTCCAGATTCAGATTTGGTATTACTTCTGTCCTTTTTTTAGCCTACACTAGGACCTTAGCACATACTGAGACATATTACAGCCAAGATGGTCAAACATTATTTCAGTAAAATGGACATGAGATGATGTGGCTCCCAACGTGGTTTGATTGTTGTTGAAAGGACAAAATGACTCTTCTTTACTTTTGGGTTGCTGACCCCTGCCATAGAGGGAGTCAATGTACCAAGTCACTGTCCTCTTGGAAAAATGTATATTTCGGGGCAGTTCTGAGACAAACTTATTACTTGGGCTCACTCTTCGCTAACATCAGGTCATCCGGGAAAGTCACACACTCAGCAACTCCTATCTAAATGTTATTGGTGGAAGTCCCTGACTACTGATGTACACAAATACGTGTCCTCATGTTCCCCCTGCTCACAATGTAAAACCCCAAAGACATTACCAGCCAGTAAACTTATGCCATTACCTGTACCTGTTAGACCATGGCCTCACATCGGCCTAGACTTTGTTACTGACCTGCCTAATTCTCAGGGTTACACTACAGTTCTCACTCTTGTGAATAGATTTTCAAGGAGTGTAAGGTCAATTTCTTTTTGGTCATTGCTCACCACTTTTTAGACTGGTGAAACTTTGGTGAAACAAGTGTTCAGGTTTTTTCTTTGTTTTTTTCTGTTCGTGGTCCTGAATTTACTTCTCAAGTGTGGTCGTCATTCTTTGAACATATTGATGTTTCTCTGAGTTCGACTTCAGGTTATCACCCACAAAGGAATGGACAGTGCGAGAAGGTGAATCAAGAACTCAGTAAATCTTTGAAGATTTTTTGTCATAACACCCCTCAGACTGGTCACGTTTTCTGGTTTGGGCTGAAGTGGCTCAGAATTCTTTAATTAGTTCAACTACTGGCATTGCAACAAAACAAAAGACAAGCCGACCCCCACCTGTGAGCCTGGAGACCAGGTTTGGCTGTCAACTAGGGACTTCAGGATTGCCCAGGGGAATAAGATCTCCCAGTCTTTTAACGTCTCCCTTTTCAAGCCAAAGGTTTCTGGTCCGTTGGACGAGGCTACACTCAACATCACACTGCCTCCTCCAGAGGATGTGGATGGAGCTCCTATGTATGCTGTTTGTCGGTTGCTCGACTCCAGAAGAAGAGGAGGGGAACTACAATACCTGGTGAACTGGGAAGGATACGGTTTGGAGGAGCTGTGTTGGAACCCAGTTCGCGACGTCCAAGAACCGGATTGGTGGCTGATTTTCATAGTCAGCATCCAGATGATCCTGCTCCTCATCCTAGGGGTCGTCCTAGGAGGGCTAGTTCTGGTCCTGCTCCTGGTTGTCTCCATGGCTTTTGAGCTCTGTCAGTCCGTCATCACGACAGCTTCGGGGTTGCTCCTGTTCCTGCCTCCGGTCGTGTGAGTGGTGGTCGTCGTGGCCGTCCTCCACCTAGGCCATCCTGGACTCCTTGGAGGAAAGGGGCTACTGTCACACATCCTTCGACCGTGCTTCTCTCATGGACTCCATGGTGACTGTGGCAGCATCACTGCCAACCAACTGTCGTTCAGCTTGACCTGACCACTGATATGCCTCACTTATTTCTTGTTTCATGTGAACTTTCGTAGGTTTTAAGTTTATTAATCTTTTCTGTTCTTTCAGATCATCATTTCACTCTTTCAGAGTAACACTGCACAGATCTGATCACAGAGGTAAGAACAGATCATGGCTGTGTAATATGGAACTGAACTGGTTCTAGATTCTACTGACAGAGAAACTGTTTAGACGTGTTTAATAAAAGTCTATATTTGTGTGCAGTGAAATTTTAGCAACTCTCATATTCAGTGTCTGTGTAGACTTTTCTACCTAGTCATGTTTTCAGTTTGTGGTTAACAGTGTTAAAATAAAATACTACTTAAGACAGAATAAACCATCAGTGAGAAAGTTTTAAAATCTTAATTAGAATAGTACTTTGCACTAGATTTTTTCTTTCCTTATGGATTTATTGATTTATTCATTTTAAACTTTGATCATGCCACTATTACATGTTTCCTCTTCAAAAAGTAAAGAACTGAATCATAAAGAGAAAGAAATTAATTAATTATTTGTTTAAATAAGATCAACATCAACTTAAACCTAAAATGTAAAATGTGCAGTAACTTTTCACAGGCCACATTTTGTGTTTTACTTTTCACAATACGTTACAATGTGTTAAAATGTGCCATGTGTTCTCTGAAGAGTAATTTAAAAGTAAATAGAGTAAATTAAAAAAATCAACAAAGTTCATTTTTTATTTTTTATTATTCAGTTTTATTCTGTTTTTCTTTTTTTTCATGTATTGAGTCCTTTATTTATTTATTATTTATTTATTTCGCTGTATTGATCAATATGAGTAAACAGCATGAATCATTCTAAGCTGAGTGTGTAAATATAGTTGCATTTTAATGGTGTGAGAGGAGTGATATCATGATCTTTATCCTAAAGTTTAGTGTTAACTTAATATGAATGTAAGAAGTTCTACTGCTCTACTGTTACTGTACCGTTTTAGATCACATTCACTGGTATTGTGTTGGTACATATTAGAGTACAAACAATGTAAAATATTATGACCCATCAATATCTCAAGTCTAATTTGCTGTTTTTATATTTTTATAGACTCTATGAAAAACCTCTGAGGTTGTTTGCACTTTTGGTCTCAGTTCTCTGCAGTAATTCCATCATTCAAGTAAGTAGTGCAACAAGACAGTGTTTGCAGTATTAAACATATTATTACTGTAAAATAAATTGTTCCTCACCTGATATTTTTACTACAGAATAAAAAAAGAACGACTGATTCAGTGACTGAGTAAAAAGAATGGCTCATATTTTACTCTCCCGCCATGCATATCATCAATATGATATGCAACAAGATCGTCTGGATGGTGAGATCAGACTGTCCATCTTCCTCGCTGCTGGAGAGTGTTTTGGTCTGCCAGCTCTAGTTTGGGCTCTGCATGTTCTGTATGGTCATCATAAGAGTGGAGGCCGAATCTCAGCCTTGGTCATCGTGCTTCTTCTCTGTGACCTGCTGGAGCTGCTTCTGAATCCATACATAGTGACTAAACTGCTGCAGGATGATTATTGCTGGGAGACGAGCACGACATGCAGGGTATTTACTTCTTTATGGTCAGGATTACAAATCTTTGGACTTCACCTCCAACAAGTGTTGGCTCTAGAGGGCGCTCTCTCTTTGACATATGCACACTGCGCTGCTCATGCTTTCTTTAATTCTTGCTCCATCATCACCTCCATTATTGCTTTCATTTCTTTCTTTCTCTGTGAGCTTTTCATGAACACTCTTCTCATAGTCTTCAGTCTGCCAGTTCTTTTAATTATAACACTGATATCATGTATCGTCACTTGTAGAGCTCCACCCCAAATCAGCGACTTCCCTTACAGAACCAAGAAGCCGAGTTGTACAGTGCTAGCTTACGGCACATCCACAGTGATCCTGTATGGGACGTTTACCAGCACGTGTGCTGTTGTGTATATGGTATATTGGAGGCTTCACTGGGATGTGTTTGTGATGGGTGTTTCTCTGATGAGTCTGAATGTACTTGTAGACCCCCTGCTGTGTGTGCTTGTCTGCAAAAGTTACACAGAGCTCAACAAGTCTGAGGTGAACATCTAGTGTCACCCTAATGTCCACAGCAGTCTAGAAGGATCTATATTCAGCATCTATGTTTTAATGTATAGTGTTTCTCTACATTTCTCTGTCCTTCCTGATCAGCACTGAACATGTCTGTCTGAGAGATCAGAACAAATTCATGAGGCCTGTTTTTAAAACCCAAAGTATAACCTGCTTATCAACCCTTTCTCTGTATTAATATGTTTTGGATGTTTGTAAAATTAAAGGGAAACAGTCACATTTGGCTATTTTTTTAGTGTCAGCAGGTGCTGCTTCATGCTAGAGGTCTGAAAATAGTGAGACACTACAGAAAAAAAAGTAAAGAAAAAACTTGAGGACTCAGCTCCCAAAAATCACCTCAGCAGTATTACTCTCTAGTTTATTCACTCTATTCAGTCACTCACTCAACCCCTGAAACAGTGAATCAGCAGCTGTCCACTAACACATTTTCTGCAAACTCACAACAGAAAAGACAGTCTTACTAACCGGCAGTACAGACTTAGCTGATGGAGTTTAACATGGCAGAGTGCAGTGCCGTATTTACGTTTTCAGAGTTGATTCTGATGCTCAGCTTATGAATGAAAAACAAATTTACCTCTGAATATTTCAACTAACTCTCTTGTGAGCTCTATTTACAGCAGCTAAAGCAGTGTTAGCTTCATTATTACAGTCAGCTGACCTTAACTCAGGTTTTCTGTTTCTGCCGAGTGTCCACTGAAAGAGCTCAGTCTGGATTTGATGCTGTTCAAAAGTCCAGACTTTAAATCCTTCTTGAAAACTAATGACTTAAAGTGTTTTGAACACACGTAAATGTTTCTCAGTAGAAATACAGTTTGGTTTATTTATAGCAGCACCAACTTTTTAGCTGTTTCAATTTTTCTGTGGCCACAGTTGTGTTACCCCTACCAGCTGTCAGAGTTCAAATGAACTCTGGGAGATGTAGCAACCAAGCTTTTTAGGATCTCTAATAAAAAAGGCTTGATATCTTTTAAGTAAACCACAAAATATCACGATTTTGTTCTGAATGTTTACTTGGATGGAAAATTGATCAAAGCTGTTTGACAGTGTGACTGTTCCCCTTTTAACACCTGCTTTATAATGTCCAGCTGCTTTAACCACAGTTTTCCTTTCTTTAAATGCAACATAACAAATGGTCAGTGTGTTCTTGAGGACTCTTTTCACATGGGCCTGTTTATGAGCACATACCATATGTTATGGTAGTTATCTATTTTTGGGATTATTATGCCTGTAATAATTGTGTGATTATGTCTGTGTTTATACCTGTAATAACTATGTATCTTCAGTTCTTTATCATTTGTGCTTTAAGCTGTAATGTGTATGATGTCCTGCTGTGGTCTGAGAGATAATTCTGCCCCCTCTTCTGTCTGTATGACCATTTTGTAACATTTTCTCTGTATGTTTAAGCAGAAGTTGGGTCATCTTTCACAGAACAGAGTATCTGAGGAAATGACCCTGAGCCTCAGCTCCCTTTATCATGCCATAAATGTCAGCAAATTGGAAAACCAAGGTTTTTTTTTAACAGATGTTAACTGGTGTTTTCTTGTTTCTTTTGTTTTTTCTTAAAACTGAATTCATTTTAGAAAGTTATGAATCATTTTAATCAACAATAAAGAATCATTGACCGACATTTGGTTGTTGTGAAGTCATTTTTGCTACATTTTGTTTTTTGTTTGTCCAGATCAGCGGTTCCCAGCCTGGTCATCAAACGGTTCATGTTTCTCCTTCATCTCTGTGTGTTGCGAGTTGAGTTGGAGCAACAATGTAGATCATCTGGGGGACTCTGATGACTGAGCTGACAACACTAACCAAACAAACACAAAGAGAAGTGTTTGGTTGGTGTGTTATACCTGTGTTTATTTGTCTTTAATCTGTAGAACAGAGATTCTCAATCCTTTCCACCTCAAGCCCAGCTTTTGGTCCCTGTCGACATGACTGCATCATGCAAAGATTTTTCAGAAGCACTTATATGCTGCAAATCTCTTGTTCACCCTTCTACCACATTCCAAATGTGTTCCCAAATGTGTTCTATTGACCAGGAAGGCCACTGAACTCATTTTCATGTTGTCCTGCTTTTGTAGCCCATCTGCTTCAAAATTCAACGTTTATATTTTTGCCCTGTTCTTTTTTTCATGCCTGTCTCTTTCTGTTTACATCATTTAAAAAAATAACAAAACCTCAAAACACTCGAAGTTGGGGTCAAAGAATTGACTCGTTCGGAATCGACTCCCCATCACCACAACCAGTATTGTAAACAAGTTTCAAGTTTATTTGTTATTTGCACAACATGTCAGGACATTCATGAATTGAAATGCTTATGGTGAGGCTCAGGTAATCACTCTACAGAAAGTAAACAAAGTAAAAATAAAAATACAAGAAAATACTGGAACTGAAATATATTAAATATACACAAAATATAGAGACAGGAGGGACCTTTGTAAGGAGAAAAAAAATCCTCTCTGCTATGTACAAATATATTTTATTAAACAAGGGAACAACGCACCATACTGAGGTACGTCACTCTTATTTGGCAGTGAATATATGTCATGACAAAAAGGCCACACTACAGAAGCAATGTAGTATGATAGTAATATGAAGACGAGGGATGGACTATGGTCTTCTGAGGCTCTGGGTACCAGCATCATTGAGGTCCCCCAAACTCTAACCAAAGGAGGGGTCCCACTTTGTCAAGAAGGATGTGTATAACAGAATACAGAAAAAGATTGACATAAACAAACAGACGAGCAGAAGCATCACTCATGTCAACTTATTCCACCAACCCGGAAGTGGACGGTCCACTCTGGCCATGCAGATACTATGGGACCTGAGAAAAAAGCTCAGGTGTGCCAAAGTGGTCGCTTCTACAACAGACACAAAGGCTGTTGCATGTCAAGTGGTGCAGTTATTTAATGCAGGTGGTTCTGGACAATATAAGTGATGAGCCTTCATTTGAAAAAAACCTTGAAGACAATCTTATTGATGAGATTAAAGCAAGTAATGTCACTACCACTGTCCCTGTGGTCATCATTTTAAACTGTGTCCACCAGCTGACAACAGCAAGGAGCACAACACTCTGCACAAGTCTTTCAGAAGAGGAGAAAAACAAACTGAAGGAAAAACAAGCTGAAGTTATTCAAAGACATGGAGACAGACATACAATACATCTGATGTTTCAAAGATCTGTTCAATTCTCCTTCCTATTAAGAAGAAAAAGAGGCCCTGCAAAGCACCACTTTGGCATATTTAGCTCTGGTTAATTAGTATGCCCCTGGTGCACTGTTGCTTTACCCAAATCCAGCTAATGCTATTTGCTGGACCCCTATGTGGGCCAGCCAAGAATAGTGATTTAGTAGATTTCAACCTGTGGGATGTGGCCCCCATTTGGAAAGGGTGGTCCTGCTAGGGGGCCACTAGCATTCCTTTTAATTTCTTTAAAACACAAAACATCACTACAACAAATAGACACTGAACTAAACCAGTAATTTTAAATATGAAAAATATTATTGTTGTGATAATTATTTGCAAAAATAGAACATTGAAAATATTTAGTCTGAACTGAAGTCAATATAAAACGAAATTCATCTATCATTGATAAATAGGTTGGTGCTGGGCCATGAGTTACAAAGGTTGGGAACCTCTGGGTTGGTCGGCTCTGGTTCCTCTATATTATTTAAAAATATAATAGAATATGTTTTATTTAAATTGTACTGCTTAAGTATTTCAGTCACAAAATACAGTGTAACATTAGCAAATCCGTTTTAAAACTCAATCTGAAAACTCCACTTTCTTTTTTGTATAATGTTTATATTTTTTGTACCACAAATATTGTATTTTTGCCCCATAAGAAAATAACTTTTAAATGTTTAACCTGTTCTATTGGCTCTGGCGGCTAGGGTGCGCTACCCATTAATGAACTTGAATTGAAAATATATGGACCTGATATTTTTGGGCTCGTCTGGCTGCAGAGCTCCAAAAGTGATGGCCAGGGCACACAGTGACCTAGCAGGGAGGCTTTTAGTGAGATCTTTAGCTCAAATGTT